TTGATTTTAAGGCCAAAATCATTTTTATTTACTTAGTAAAACAGCTGCTAAAATCGAAATCAATTTTAAGCCCTTAAATTTTTAGATCGATTTTAGGGCTTATTGAAACACCCCCTGTTCTTTTGAAACCAAGAGATACATTGCATTGTTGCAGTTGTATCATGGATTTGTACATAAAACTGTACATCATATTATTCAATAGCCATTTGAATTCTACAATCATTGAAAAATTCATTTTCATGCGCTCTCAAATTTTATCATTGCATATTGTTGTTTTTATGCAACCCCTAAATGAAACGAATCTATTCCATCATCAATAACTAAGAAAATGAAAGTTTATGAAATTTTCTGTACAGAGCAAACTATAGAGGAGCTTGCAAGATACGTCACAGTGTTGCCAATTTGTGCATCACCGATGACAGCTTCAACAATTCATAACTTTCCTATTTTTATCAGATATTGCTAAAACTGCTACTAATTTGTTTCTCCCATTTTTCTATTTTTATAATAAACTAACTTAATATCAGGGTGGACTTCTCCTTCTCCTAAAGACGTCGGTCCCCTGACTGTTTATAATACAAGCATACACATGCTTTCTAATATTTCTTTGTAGACAGGTAAAATAATCATCATCCAAGAATAACATGCATTGAAGCAAGTGCTGGTTTTGATTACTTTAATACTTCTAATATAAAAACTCATCAACATTAAGATTAGGAATACAAGATACAAACAGTTATGTAAAAACAGATCCAACCTCTGGACAAGAATATGGATAACATATTGGTACACAGTAAAATGGTCTATATTTAAGGGTGGGGTGGGGGTTACAAGGGATCAGACCCCCCCCCCTTCTTTTACTTCGGGGCATTGGACCCTATTTTACAAATCCTGGACCTGTTCCTTTTTAGCAATTTCAAAACCAGATGAATTCATGAAATCAAAAATACTGCCAAAGATTATGAATACTTGAACTCCATCTACATCACCGATACATTATCAGCAGTTGCTCTATTCAATAAAATAACTTTTGTTCCTTTGTTTCTTCCTAATATTTGACCTTTAAGTTAATGACATCACCTCCTTTGGGGACAATTAATTCAAAAAGTTAGAATAATCAAGAACTCTAGAAAATGTCTCACTCTGTTCTGCATGTTAGCCGCTGATTCTGCTCTTCTTAGTTCAGATTTTGATTACAAATTACATTTATTCAAATGATTTTTCACATGTCAATACTCTTAGACTTGAACATGTCTCGTGTTCAGACGACTATTACAGCATAGTATATCTTATGATCGATAAATAAATCCAATTAAGTAGCAATAAAGGAAAGCTACTAAATTCATTACTGAAAAGATAGAGAAATGGATAATTTGATGAAGTTTACACAAATGTGGAAAATAAATCTTGTAGAGCCTTTGCTTGCTCGCACATGATAATTGAAGTCAACATATTTATTTTTCATATAATTTCCAGTTAAATAACGGACTTCATTCAATGTTTTTGGAAATAATCCTAATAAACATAGTTTATTAGCTTTCCAGTTAAATAACTGACTTCACTTCAACTTTTTGGAAATATTCCTAATAAACATAGTTTATTAGCTTTACCAGTTAAATAGCTGACTGCACTTCGATGTTTTTTGGAATATTCCTAATAAACATAGTTTATTAGCTTTATAATTTAATAGCTGACTTCACTTCAATGTTTTTGGAAATAATCCTAATAAACATAGTTTATTAGCTTTCCAGTTAAATAACTGACTTTACTTCAATGTTTTTTTTGAAACATTTTTATCAAATAAAGATTGTTAGCTTTGATTCTTAATCTGTTATTCCCTTTCTCATCTGACATTTCCTGCTCTACATTTGAGTTTCCATATAAAACCTTTCTGAGCTTATGCAAGGTGAAGTGCTTGAGGCATAACTCAGTTGCAGACGTTACCATTTATTTCATCCATATGCATCATCAAAATCCTTGCACATTTTAAAATGATTTTCTCTTCAGTTTTCAAGAGGTCAGAACATCTCATTCTCCTATTGTGTAAATACCAAGAAATCTTGTGACTCGTTATCTGGTTTATTAATATTCCGACACTCTTAGATTTAATCATTTTCTTTTGAGAATTTAATTACATATTTATAAGGGCTGGTACTTGATATCAGACTTGAAAGCAGTCAAGAACATCTCACACATACTTGAAATTCAAAGGGCACAAAACCTTGAGTCCTTTAAAATCGGAATTAAACATTGTTTAAAAGGGACTTGGTAACATTGTTCAGATGAGAGATAGTGGTGCTAAGGTAGTGACTTCAATGCTAGATGTACAATTAAAGATAATCTGAAAATTTGAGTGAAAACGAACCATTATTCCTTAATTCCCCCAAACAAATTATTGCAATTTACTTACATTTTAGGTGAATTGAAATCTCACAAAGCAATAAAATGGCTCTACATTCCATTCCAGACATTTAAGTGTTGACAGATTTTTTATATCCTGTTTTATGTCTTTTTTTCATGGAAAAATTCAAAAATGGTTGGGAGAATTTACTGTTAATCACTGTTAGAGAGTGTCATACATCAACGCCTTCAAAGAAAACCATAGATATCTTTGTGGTTATGAGAATTTTTTCAGGATTTTTTGGATGTCAGAGGGTTAGTACAGTACAAGGAATATAGTAAGTAACATTTTATACAAAAATTAAGCAATTTTTTCATCAACCTTCAACAATGTTACCAAGTCACTTTAAAGAGAAGGTTGAGTTCTGAGAAGAGGTGAAAAATAATAAGTGAGCGTTATCATTGTATTATGCAAGTGTGGAAGAACATCAGATAAAACATGTTCCCTGAAAAGCATGGCTCGTCAATTGCCTTAATATTCTAAATATGGCATGTAACATCATACAAATTGGGACAGATTTTTATGTCCGTGTTCGTGTAGTCCCATATACATCTTTCTGTTTACAGTGCTTGTAAATTTACCAAGATTGGGCCAAATTTCCTATCATTTTGATGATTCCAGAATCTTGCAGTACACACCAATTATATGCTTGATGATCAACCTTTCTGATCAATTCCACAAGGTTTCTTTCACAATGCAATCGCATGACCAGAACTCAACTTTATCTTTAAGAGCACTTCAATGATTATTATATTTTATCCCACATCACGCATTATCCTTTCAAGTGGCAGTGCATCCAGGCTATTCCTTTGAGCACCTCTTCAACATAATAACTTAGAAAAAATTGTGACATTTCTCTAAATACTCTTTTCTATGGCACGTCTGTTGACATGGTAACATCTTTGGTTACGGAGAGAAAAAAAGACAATTATCAAAATCTTAAGTGATATTTTTAAAGTCGTGCAATATTTCAAATTATTTGCTGACATAGTTAACGTTCCCTACACATGGAGGGTTTTCATAAATCTTTATTGACGTTATCCTCATAAAAAAAGAAGGTTATGACCATTTTCATTTTTGATTTTTGTTACAATATTTTTTATAATAGGATCATCATCTATTTCGTATAAAGATGCTATGTTACTAGTTTCTTTTTGTATCTTTTGATAGTCCAACCACTCCGTAATTTCATTTGGTATTTCTCTGCTAATGACTGCATGTTATTTCCTTCAATATTTTCTTTGCATATTGTATTCTTGACAATGCATGTTTTCATGAAAGTGTTGATTTAATTCAATTCAACACAACATATTTGCATCAATATACTTGAGAAGTTGTTTTTGCCTGAATATAGCTTCAGAGGTTGATCTTCATGCTAGATAATGTAAACACTAGGCAAGTGGCATTAAGAGAGATCTCTTAAATATATACACAGCAGCATACTCTTGGCTTTTAAATAAAACTGGTATAGAGCTTGAGTAAGACATCATAGCATAATAGTAGTCTATCATACTCATTATAATCCTCCTACTGATCCAGAAGTGTCTCCTAAAAAGTAATAATACTGATTTAGACTGATGATGATTAATCTTGGCAGAGGGTTCCCAGAAGAAGTGGTCCAGAATGACAATCCAATTTAAAGTCTTGCATATTTCAACACAGGCACTAATGACATTTACATCTTTACATCTCCTTTGAGCTGTGAATATCTACTGCACATCATTATCGCTTAAAATGTTGAACTTTTATATGAATCCATATATATGTAAGCACAATAAAATAAGTAAAAGTTTTATGTACACTCAGCAAGTAAAAGATTCCACACCAAATACTCATATTTGGCAAAGGTACATTGGAGAGGATGTGAGTTGGCTCAGTTGGTAAAGAGTCTGCTTGTTGAACCAAAACTTGTGGGTTCCAATCCAACCCAGGTGGATGACTGAAGCCTGCGTTGTGTGTTAACGTGCCCCTCCCCTTGTTTCATAGACACAGGCTATGTTAAATGGAAAACACTCTGTCCCTCAGATAGGACGTTAAACGGAAGCCGTTTAGAGGAGAGTCACCACCTTTGCGCATTGAAAACGCACTGCACTATTTGTATAAGAGTAGGGGGAGAGACCCAAGGGTTACAGTGATTCAGTCCTACTACCTACTCGTCTCCATGCTAGCACACCCTCTCAAAGATGAACATGTCATGTATAGTGTCTGTTAAGTAGTTTCAGAAAAACAGATCTCCATTGGTAGAATTGAAGAGATGATAGGCTTTTCTTGACACCTATGATCCTACTTGTCTCGATGTTGCTAGAATGCCCCTCTTTCGAATCAACTATGACTAGGGTAAAGTGGAATTCATGTCATAGTCATTTGGATGTCGATAGAACACCCCTCGTTCGAATCATGCATAGGGAAAGTGTAGTAGCATCATAAAACCAGATCGCCATTGGTAGAATCAAAGAGATGACGGACTCTCCTTGACAGCTCAGGCCCTACGCGTCTGGATGTCGCTTGGACACCCCTCTTTTGAACCAACCATGATTAGGGAAAGTGGAATTCAAGTCATAGTCATTTGGATGTCGATAGAACACCCTTCATTGAATCATCCATGCATAGGGATTGTTGAGTAGCATCATAAAACCAGATCACCATTGGTAGAATCAAAGAGATGGTAAACTCTCCTTGACAGCTCAGGTCCTACGCGTCTGGATGTAGTTAGAACACCCTCTCCACGACGCACCTATATGCAAGATATAAAGAATATTCATGATCGAAATAAACATGTGAAATATATGTACATGTAGCTTTGCATACACCTCGCCAATGTAACCCCCAAAAGATTTGATTCATCTTTATATGCTTGTTTTTATATCATGTTACATTGAAGTCTTTCATCAGAATGATTATGGTTAGTCTGCTTTAAAATATACCAAGTAGAATTAGGACATTTCTGTAAGCCCCCTTGTTACACATGTATACAGAGCTGCGACAGTATACTGTGTACGACCAAAAAAAGGAACCATGCTGGCAAAAAAAGAGGAATTTTAAGCAAAAACTAGATGGATCTTGGACTGCGCGCAGTCCAAAATGATGCCTCCGCCATAGAGCAATTTTACAAACCAAAACAGAAGCAATTTTTTAAATTCAAGTTTGATTGTATTCCAGTAACAGGTTTTCAGAATATCGTGATTACAAGCTATTTTTTCATATACATGTATGACCCATTGGCTCAGCAAGATACATACATATCTTGAGTTTGATGGTAATTCATCAAGCCCAAACTCCAGAGAAAAATAATGTCCCCGACCTACAATCAAAATGCATCTCTCTGCCTAACCCTATAATTTTTACAAACATAAATCCCAAGCAAACATCACTGGGGCAAATGTCAGAACACCCAAAGACTTGTTAAATGAAGAAGAAAAAATCTAATCTGATCGTTTTCCTATGGTGATATATATACTATCCTTAAGTTTGAAGTTTAAAATCTCAAATGGTTCTTGAGATATCGCGATAACGAGCTGAAGACATGGAATTTCACAAGTTAACCTCTGTGACCCTTGACCTACGTGCTCCAAAATCTAAACAGATCGTCTTCCTATGGTGATACATACTATCATTAAGTTTGAAGTGAAAATTCTCCAGTGGTTCTTGAGATATCGCGATAACGATCTCAATGTATGGAATTTCATAAGTTGACCTCTGTGACCCTTGACCTGTGACCTACGTGCTCATAAATCTAATCAGATTGTCTTCCTATGGTGATACATACATGTACTATCATCAAGTTTGGAGTTTAAATCTCCAGTGGTTCTTGAGATATCATGATAACAATCTCAATGTATGGAATTTCATAAGTTGACCTCTGTGACCCTTGACCTTTGACCTACGTGCTCCAAAATCTAATCAGATTGTCTTCCTATGGTGATACACACTATCATTAAGTTTGAAGTTTAAATCTCCAGTGGTTCTTGAGATATTATGATATGGTGATACATACTATCATTAAGTTTGAAGTGAAAATTCTCCAGTGGTTCTTGAGATATCGCGATAACGATCTCAATGTATGGAATTTCATAAGTTGACCTCTGTGACCCTTGACCTTTGACCTACGTGCTCCAAAATCTAATCAGATTGTCTTCCTATGGTGATACACACTATCATTAAGTTTGAAGTTTAAATCTCCAGTGGTTCTTGAGATATTATGATAACAATCTCAATGTATGGAATTTCATAAGTTGACCTCTGTGACCCTTGACCTTTGACGTACGTGCTCCAAAATCTAATCAGATCGTCTTCCTATGGTGATACATACTATCCTTAAGTTTGAAGTTTTTACATCTCCAGTGGTTCTTGAGATATCATGATAACAATCTCAATGTATGGAATTTCATAAGTTGACCTCTATGACCCTTGACCTTTGACCTACGTGCTCCAAAATCTAATCAGATTGTTTTCCTATAGTGATACATACTATCCTTAAGTTTGAAGTTTTTACATCTCCAGTGGTTCTTGAGATATCATGATAACAATCTCAATGTATGGAATTTCATAAGTTGACCTCTATGACCCTTGACCTTTGACCTACGTGCTCCAAAATGTAATCAGATTGTTTTCCTATAGTGATACACACTATCACTAAGTTTGAAGTTTAAATCTCCAGTGGTTCTTGAGATATCATGATAACAATCTCAATGTATGGAATTTCATAAGTTGACCTCTGTGACCCTTGACCTTTGACATACGTGCTCCAAAATCTAATCAAACCTCTTCCTATGGTGATACATACTATCCTTAAGTTTGAAGTTTAAATCTCAAATGGTTCTTGAGATATCGCGCTAACAAACTCAATACAAGGAATTTCATAAGTTGACCTCTGTGACCTGTGACCTTTGACCTACGTACTCCAAAATCTAATCAGATCGTCTTCCTATGGTGATAAATACTATTCCCGAGTCTTAAGTTTAAATCTTAAATGGTTCTTGAGATATTGTGATAACGGTCAAACGGGACGGACGTACGGACAACCCGAAAACATGATGCCTCCGGCACCACCTTCGGTGGCGGAGGCATAAAAAGGAATTCATTAAAACGAAACTTACAACCACGCGCAACAAATTTCCAATGTAGAAATGTCCATTCCTCATGCTGTTTTTTTTTCCATATTAGGACCTATAGTTTATTTACAAGTAGGTATTTTGTTGTTCTTATTTTTGTATCATCTGTGTTTCATTCTTTTTGAGAATATTTGTCTCTTCATGTATGTTTTAAGGATAGTTTTTTTTATTTGTGATCAAAATAACATTTAAGGGCCCTTGTTTGACATGCGGTATGTTAAAAAAAAAAAAAAAAAATACTATTATAAAAAATTATTTAAAAAACACATTTTTTATTTGGAGGAAAAAACAGAGTTATTCCAGGAAAAATGGAGTGGATGGCAGCTCTGTATATAGCTCTGCAAAGACATTTATGGAGAGTCTGAAGTAGTCACCATGAAAGAAGGCATTGTGATTCCTTTGTAGAAGAGACTTGTCTTTGGAGGACATACTCGCTTTTAGCCTTTGAATACTTACAACAATATCTTGGAGAAGTTTTTTGGCAGCATCTTCTGTTGGACAATTCTTGTATGCCTGAAAATTAAAAAAGAGAGAAAAAAGTAGAAGAAAAGAAAGAGAAAGATATAAAGCCATTACATATTGCCGTTGCCAATGTAACAATCATTTTCAGAATGTTAATATTTTTATGACGATGTACATTTTATATCATTGTATTATGCATTTCTTCTTGTATTATGTATATGTACAATGGCTGTAAATCCAGTGAAAAAAAGAATTGGCGGCCGGGCGAGGAGTTTTTAGCCAATTTCGCCCGGGCACTGCTTGTTTTCAGGGCATCGCACAGTCGCCGCTGAAGTTTTAGCACAGATTTAATTTCGAGCGGCGTCTGCTCAATTTTTACTCGCCGCCCAAAATACACACGGTATCCGGGCGGTCGCCGCCTGGGCACTGACCTAATCAAGTGTTCGCCGTCGAGCGATTTAGGTAAAATATCTAAGCCGCGAGGTCAAAGACTGCCAAGCGGTCACCGCCCTGTCACCGCTGGGAGATCAGTCGTCTGCCCGATCATGGCTGAGTATATAACGCGCTGCTCAGTGCGCTCCACAAGAGACAACAGCGAGATTTCTATCGGAAGTTTGCTTCACTGAAGAAATACCCAAAACATGCAAGAAAACCAAGGGGCAAGTGGGGAAAAGGAGCCTGGGCTGTGTGGAGGAGGCAGGGGGAAGGACAGAGGCAAGGCAGCCCCCACCAGTGTCTCCCCTAAAAGGTACGCCTACAAGACACCCGCAGATGCCCCGCCGATCACCAGCCGTCCGCCGGGCAATTTCTTTAAAATCAACTTGTGGCCGGTGGGAGACCGCCCGGGAATCGGTGGGTCATCAAGCTCCCCGATTTCGCCCAGTTTTTACCTTAAATTAACCAGCGACCAACGGGAAATTAACAGGGCACTGCCCGAGCATCACTGGGGCTCTACAGTCTGCTTGACTTCTCTAAAAATCGTTGGGCGATGCCTAAATTCCAGCGGTGACTAAGGAGGCTACAAATCGGTCGGTCGCAGCTCTGAGTTGTGACCAACTCATAAATGGCTCCTTGCCTGACAAAAAAAATCTGCCTCCCATTAATGATGCCATTTTCCTGGACTTTAGTAAAGCCGTGGATGACAAGACAACCAACTGAGGGCAATTTTACCAATGAAGATCAACGGGGAAGGCATCCATCTGCAAGTGTCACACTACAAACGCTGGAAGAAGTGGGCACAGAAATGTGCAACCAGACGATGTCCACTGAAACCAGTACAAGCAGGAACATTCCGGACCATTTACAAGATTTTTTGGCTCGCAGTATCAGTGAAGTCCCAGCCCAATGCAATAAAGGAACTGCTGGTCGAAAATGCGGATGTTTTCTCGAAAGGACCATCGGATCTGGTTTAACATTGACACGGGTACCGCAAAACCGATGCGCCAAGCGCAGAGAAGACACCTGATGGCACAAAGAGAGTTTGTATGGATGAGGTAAAAAACTAGAGAGAAGGGTCTTGCATCAAAGTTACAACCCAGATGGCTCGGGCCATATTTGGTAGTCACCAAGTTTTCCGATGTGACTTCATTGTCCATGCAGATCGGCTCAAGCCATACACTGGTACAGCTAGAGATGTCTGGCAGTACGACTCCCCCTCCTCCATCTCCTCTAGACCACCGACGAGAGATTGGAATGACAGCACTAATCAAAGTGAGGGGTGGGAACCAATGAGCCTTTCCAGAAGTAGGGGCCATTTAAAGGGAAAGAGATTGCAACATTCTCCTTATGAGCTCATGTAATAAACAGGTGTCATTGAGGTATAAATTTGTGAAATGTCTTGATTATAACCTGATTATTTATATACAGTAGGCTTGCGGGTGCACCATGTGAGAAAGAGGGAGGATTGAGGAGTCCTGAAAAGGACTCTCGGTAATCTTTCTTGAGGGTGGTGCACCCGCAAGCCTACTGTACAGCTACATCACCATGCAAGACGACACTTACAAGCAGCATCTGATTATTTATGTTTTGTCAGAAACGTGCCATCCGACAAGCAGGGAAACAAGGACATCATCTTTGTTCGCACCACAGAGCGGTACGTTACCAAGGAGGGAGGAACTCTTGGAAGTAGTGACCGAGGAACTAAAAAAGAAAGAGTCATCTTGAACTGTTACTCTTATTAATAACCCGATAATTTATGTTTTGTCAGAAACATACCATCCGACAAGCAGGGAAACAAGGATGTCATCTTTGTTTGCACCACTGAGCGGTATGTTACCAAGGAGGGAGAACTGATGGAAGTAGTGACCGAAGAACTAAAAAAGAAAGAGTCATCTTGAACTGTTACTCTTATTGATAACCTGATTATTGATGTTTTGTCAGAAACAAGCCATCCGACAAGCTGGGAAACAAGGATGTCATCTTTGTTTGCACCACTGAGGGATATGTTACCAAGGAGGGAGAACTGTTGAAAGTAGTGACCGAGGAACTACAAAAGAAAGAGTCGTCTTGAACTATTTCTCTCATTTCAAACTGTTCTTTGCACTTCCAGAAGTAGAGCCATATAAAGGGAAAGAGATTGCAACATTCTCCTAATGAGCTCATGTAATTTAACAGTTGTCATTGATGTATAATATGTGAAATGCCTTATTAATAACCTAATTTTTTTTTTTTTTTCAGAAACATGCCATCCGACAAGCAGGGAAACAAGGATGTCATCTTTGTTTGCACCACTGAGCGGTATGTTACCAAAGAGGGAGGACGGTTGAAAGTAGTGACCGAGGAACTAAAAAAGAAAGAGTCATCTTGAACTGTTACTCTTAGTGATAACCTGATTATTCATGTTTTGTCAGAAACATGCCATCCGACAAGCTGGGAAACAAGGATGTCATCTTTCTTCGCACCACTGAGCGATATGTTACCAAGGAGGGAGAACGATAGAAAGTAGTCACCGCGGAACTACAAAAGAAAGAGTCGTCTTGAACTGTTTCTCTCATTTCAAACTGTTCTTTGCATTTTAGTCCCATAGACAAACCACTGCTTAAGAGCAACATGCATCATGACTCTGGATAGAGCTGGTTTCGAGTCTTGAGACATTCAATCAATGAGTGGTCACCACAGTGAGCAGTCACTCAAGAATTATTGTAACACTAGCCACGAGCGGAAGAAACAAATGTCCTCACATCTTGGGAGTCATCTCTACGAGAAAAGAAATATCACTTTGACTAGTGCAACACAATCGGTTCCAGATCCTGGACCAGGTCCAAGCAGGCCTGATCACACGACCAGACAGCCGCTTGAAGTAGTAGTTCCGTATCGTGACTCAGATAATGTAGATGTTCATGTGAATTCCCATCAACAACCATCTTTTTCGCAGGAGAGGGTACACCAGGACCTTTCAACAACTTAAAATACTTTTCAAATCCACGATTGTGTGGTGAACATTTATAATAGACCCTAGACCTAGTCTAAGGAATGTTCAAGACAAGACTTTGTGTAGGCCTAGATCTATGTACATATATTTTGACTTTGACTCAAGTTTGTTGACCTGTTATTTAAAGGTGCATGCAAAAACAAACTGGTGCGGTCAATTGGAGTTGCATGCAGAAGCAGACTGGCATAGTCGTCTGGAGGTGCGCATGAAGCAAGCTGTTGATACACGACGTAACAGCGGTTGGCAGTCTGGTGGTGGAGTGCAGACCTGTGATGGTCTGGTAGTGTCGACTGGACAGTGGTCGAGAGGTGGTGCACAGTGGTGTCAACGTCAGTTTATCTCTGCCAAACGGATCTACGGCGAAATTGTACCGGACTTGGAAAACCTGCCAGCAGGAGGCATCCTGACAAGATAAGCTGCTGGGCAGAATTCGACAGAGTCACCAGTTTCGTTAGAATATTGACAAGCAAGTTTGTTGATAAAAAAGTTATATAAGAACTTCTTTGAGAATCAGTCTGAAAAGAATATTGATAAACCTGTTCACATGACACTGAAATTTTGCGGTAATATATTTAGAGGAAAGGAAAGGAAGAACGCCTTCAACATGGACTTCATTGAATCATATCATCTGCAAGTGCCACACTACAAACCAGATCATGAACCCAATCAAAGATATTGAAAAGCAAGTTTGTTAAGAGTGGACGTGGTAAAGGAGGGAAGGCAAAGAACAAGGGCATTACCGTCCATGTTGAAGTCGATCTTCCTTGTCTAAATTATATTAGCACAAAATTTTAGAATGCAATCAAATCCTACCCTCAAGAGGAGTCGAGGAGCAGGATACTGAGCTACGATGGCCGATGCGATCTCTGGACTGACGTTCCTGAACTGTTGGAACTGTTGCCTCCACACCTTGAGCAGTCCCTTGCCATCCTTGGCCACCTTGACCCCTCCGGCCCAGTCGACATGGACGTGGAAAGAGAACTTGGCCTCGTCTCGTTTCCTCCTAGAAATAATTAAGTGGAGGGAATTCAAGGATCACTCATTGAAGCAGGAAATATTGAAAGTAGGACTACAATTTGTCGATATGTTTTGAATTCTAAATGGCACAAATAATGGTTTACGAGTGGTGGAGTAGCAAATAACTTCTTGAAAGCAAACAAATATAGCTGGCGTTTTGGGGGAAAGAATTTTGCATTTCTTTGGCTTAGTGAAACATGTATCATACTGCAGTGTATTGGACTTTAAGTGTATTGGACAACTACTATAACTTTTTACACATTAGTAAATTGTGTATTATGTATTTTCTTTCATCAGGAGAAAAAGGAAGAGGAAGGGAAAGAGAAAGAGAAAGAAAAAGAGAAAGAGAAAGAAAAAGTGAAAGAAAAAGACAGATAGAGAGAGAGAGAGAGAGTCAAAAAGGGTGAAAACTTGGCACAGAATAAATATAAACATTTAAATTATAAACAACAAAATCATTTGTTCATGTTATAGGATCTAGCTATGTTTCTTTTTAAAACCTGCTCAACTAAGCCAACTTGCATCAAAACAGGAATATCTCTCATACTACATGTATGATACGCTTACTTGAAAGGCGTTTCAGCTACAGCTTTGGTGAACATGGCTACCAGGTCAGCTATCTGTTCACTAGTCTCTACAAAACGCATGTTACAGGTCAGCTTCAACTGCACATCAACCAAGGCCTGTAAGAGAAAAAAACAATTTGTTATGACTGTAAGGAAAAGGGTTAAAGGGGAAGTCCACCCTGAAATCAAGTTGGTTTTAATAGAAGCAGAAACATGAGAGGAACAGGTCAGTGAAAGTTTGAGCAAATTCCTATTAAAATTAAGAAAGTTGTGAAATTTTGGAATTTGCGATCAATCAAACACAAATTGGCAACTCTGTGACGTATCTTGCGAACTTCCTTCCCATTTGCTCTGTACTAAAAAAAAATATTTAAAAAAATCAAAACTTTTTTTATTCTTCCCTCAAGAAAATTTCAACCATATATGCACCCTAAATATAATCATTGCAAATATAGGATTAACTTTGCCTTGGGACTGATTGTGCCTTGAGTTCAATTGAAAAATGTCATGACATAATTTCTTTTTCTCTCTTAAGTACACTTACCTCCTCAACGTCCACCCTGGATACAATGACATCAATGTCTTCTGGTTTCCGTTTCCTCTTCTTGCCTTTTCCTTTCTCTTCACCTGTCACCCCAAGCACTGCATTCCTGTACTGTCTCTGGTGGACATTCTTTTTGGCTCTGAAAATAAGATGTATTTACATGGTTTACTATCTTTTATACTTTGTTTCATTGGTACAAGGGAATATAGGAATGAAGTCGTATATAGAACTGCATCGGTGCACTTTATCTCCGTTGCATGATCTTCTTGTGAAATTATGTTGGGAAGTGTTTATATAAAGGCAAATTTACCTTAAAAATGGGGGTAAGCAAACTGCTGGAATGAAATGAAATTGAAATGAAAATTGAAATTAAATTAAGCTTTTATTGTCCATTCAGAAATTCGTTTTGACAAAGTTTACAAATCGATTTACAACTAGATGGAACTTCGACTGCACGCAGTCGAAAATGATGCCTCCGTCATAGAGCAATTTTACAAACCAAAACAAGCAATTTTTCAAATTCAAGTTTGATTGTAATCCAATGACAGGTTCTCTATGGCCCTTTGATCTTTGACCTCATGATCCCAACATCTACTCAGTTCATTGGCTCTGCAAGAAACATACATATCTGAGTTTGATGGTAGTCCATCAATCGGTTCTAATGATAATGTGATCACAAGCTATTTTGGCATTCATAATGAGCCCCATGACTTTTGAACTTGACCTCATGACCCCAAATCTAATCAGTTCATTGCCTCAGCAAGATACATACATGTCCTGAGTTTCATGGTAATCTGTCTATCTCTTCTAATGATAATGTGATCACAAGCTATTTTTGCATACATAATGAGCCCTGTGACCTTTGACCTCATGACCCCAAAATCTAATCAATTAATTGGCTCTGCGAGATACACACACCATCCAAGTTTGGCAGGAATCCATCAGTCGGTTCTTGAGATAACGCGATCACGAGAACGGGACGTACGGACGGACGGATGGACAACCCAAAAACATAATGCCTCCTGAAACTTCGTAACGGAGGCATAAAAAGCGATAATCATAATCAAAGAGAGTTAAAGTAATGGTAAACTACATTCATAACAGCTTTGGTTGGTTAAGTTACATGAAATAGTTTTTGTATGATGAGGATGCCGACAGAGCAAGAGAGTTGAAAAGGACCAAAGATAGGTACGGTAGGCAGAGGAGGTGGGTAGATCAGTGAAAAATAGAGAGAAAGAGAGAAAGTCAACATCAGATCTTAGATGATTATAAAGAAGGAAAAGAAATTTGTGCATTATAGTAATAATTATAATAATAATGGTGGGTAGCTTCTTCTGTCAGGTTGTGATGCTCCTGACGCTGTCCTGGTTATTACCCTGGCTTTAGCAAGGCGGCTATTACGGCGTTTTAGCATTTCAAGGAATTAATTTCTGCCAGGAACCCATTTACATCACCTGGGTTGAGTGTGGCAAATGTAGATTAATGTCTTATGGCTGCATACCTGAAGTATTTCTCCATGCCTTGAACGACCAACGTGGGCATGATCCCTCCTAGCTGCCTCTGGATGTCTTTCACATGGTCACATAATGTCCTAAGACCCGGGGTGTATTCCCCTCTCTGTTCCTAAACACACACACACACAAAACCATTGAGTGAGGTCATAAACGATACGATTCTCGGAATAAATAGGAATCAAAGAGATTACTGGTATGGATATTTGCACAGCTCATCGCTATGCCCAGGATAAAAAGTGTTTGGAACTATATCATCAATAGGGTCACAAAGGGTCAGTCATGACTCGTAGGACAACAATGACGACATGTAATTGTATGAACAAATGTGGGCGTGAACATTGTAATGTATAATGGGCAAACAGGAAATCTTTGCACTAAATTGAAAATCGACTACGAGACAAAAAGAAAAACAGATTGAATAAAAAATGTGGATGCTTTTCAAAGAAATTTCAACCTTGAATATTTGATAAAGCATGCGCATGCTCTTGCGCATAAATTCTTAGAATGATTTTGTTGCAACTTACACATTTGTAAGAATAGACCATCTCTACAAACTCTGCAGGAGAAAGAACAATAATGGCTTCCGGTTCCTGCTTGATACTTGTCATGGAGTCCAGCTGAAGAAAAAAAAAATTAGATAGCAAAACAAAATTAATATAACATCTGTAAGTTTTTTTAATTTGTGTATAAATGTAATGCTTTCTGGGAGAAATTTCAATTGTTTAAACATATTTGTGGCTTACACCCAGTACAGATCGATCAATCAATCTTATTTAATGGGTGTAAATCACAAATACGTTTAAACCATCTTTAAGATTGTTGAGCCAAATCTATGATTGTGTTAAAAGAAAAGGGATGGGGGGGGGGGGCACATCCACAATAAAAAAATTCAATGAAATTTTAAGCTTATCTGCCGTAGTTTACAGGAAGGATTAGACTGCCCTGCAAGGTCACTGGACAGATGGTTGTCTCATCAACTCAGCTCTCAGTTAACATAAGAAAAAGAGGATCATGGGGGACCAATGGTCACCGATTAGGCATTGTTTGTTATATAGAGGGCGCAAGTAGCTACAAGTAGTGCAGTGGGCCTTTAAGCCATGCTGTGGAAGGTGAAAAGATATTAAAATGCTTAAACTCAGAACATACTAAAACCTACTTGGTCTCCTTTTTATTGCAACATAAGTACAAAGCAAAGGATCTAGAAAGTGAAACATATCATTGAATGCACAGTTCTGCTTCTCTCACAAAATAGTGTATACTTAATGAGGCTTCCAATAAATGGGATAGATTTCTGGCGTAAGGGAAGCAGAACTGAGTCAAAATAAGAACACAACATCTGTACTTAGAATCAAGGTGGATAAATTGCATTGGTTTGTGAAAAGGTCACACCCATTTGCTGCTATTAAGGGGTGGGCGGGTTTGGATTAGCAAGATCGTGTTACCTTCTTTCAAAGAACCATTTGGGCCTGGAGTCTACTCCCCCCCCCCCCCCCCCCCAACATTGTTGCTTGCAATTCAGTAGAAACCTTTAAAACCAGACTCTGGGAATCAATCCAAAGGGGCAATATAAACATATAGGGTGGTATTTTTATTTTAGAAGGCGGACTAACTTTAGTCCATAGTTTAATCCACCGACCAAGTATGGAATGCCAAGTGTCCATATGAATATATTTTTGAATAATTTGATATGTCCCTAAATTACCATGATAACATAATTGTATCATTGTTATATTGTTGTTTATAAATTATGTTATTACATTTTGTTTTAAGTTAGTGACAGATTAAATTATTCAAAAACATATTCATATGGACACTTGGCATTCCATACTTAAGTCGGTGGGTTAAACCATGGACTAAAGTTAGTCTGCTCTCGAGAATACCAGCCAAAGTCACTTCCTGCAATTGCAAAGTGATGGGACTCAACTAAGAAATGTAATAAATACACCACACACTCTCTCTCTCTCTCTCTCTCTCTCTTTCTCTCTCTCTCGAATGCTAACATTCTGGTCAACCACATCCCATTTCGAGGATCAGGAACAGATTCAGAATCTCAGTTTGATTCTATTCCATACGTTACCTGTAAGTCCTGGCCTAGGAGGTCCGTGTCCAGGACCGTTCTCTGCCACCTGATGCATGATGGGATAGACTGCGCCTCGATGACGTATTTACACCCCATGGTCTGCAGCTTGGCCAAGATCTGAGCTCCGCATGGGTCCTCAATCACATGGTGGTCCAACACGACCGTCATAAACTGAAACAAAATAATAGCCCTCATTTTTCTTTCATATCTTGGAGAATGGACATAATCTTTTTGTTGTTGTTGTTGGTATAACATGTTCTGTCCATAGAGTTAACTGAATTTTTTCAGGCTCAGTATTTTATGAGTTCAAGGGTTTGATCTGGTTGGTAGAGCTCATGAGAACATTCTTTTTGTTTCCTTATTCATATTTATTTACCTTATAAGACCATGGAGGATTTTGTCAGATGACTATTGACTAGTGATAGTATCCCCGCAGACGGGGGAAATGGAAATCCATAAGAATAAACAAATGGCAGATAATGTTGCACTGGCCCATCTCACAATTCACAAAGTTTTCATTCTTTCTGATTCATCAGTTAGTTTTTACTCACAATTGTCTAACAAACCTGACATAGATTTTAGGCAAAGGCTCCAAATGTAAATAAAACTGATTGTGTCAAAAGGAAATGCATACTTGGCCATCATTTTCATTGAATGTTGAGAAAATATTGTAAATCTTACTCAACACAGGTAACACATAATAAGAGGGGTGGGGGAGGGGGGGGGGGACTGAAGAAAAAAAGACCTATCCCTTTTGTTTTGCTAGTAGTGACCGACTCTGATCTATTAATCCACTCTTCCAGTTTACCTCTCTGTTTTAGCTCAGTCAGTAGAGTGTCCGCCTCACAACCGGGAAGTCATGGGTTCGAAGCCCGGCCGCATCATACCAAAAGACGGGAGTTGCTGCTACCTAGTTTGGCTAGATAGAGCAACGTCGATCTGGCGCTGCTCAGTGGCTGCGGGCTCACGATCAATTGGGCAAAAAGAATTTCCATTTTTGGGTTAACTTAATAAAATTTGGAGTGGACTTTAAAAGATTATTATTATTATTATTACTGAGTAAGTTAGAACATTTAGTTATTGATTTTCATATCAGAATCAACTTACTTTCAGGCATTCTCCTGGTTTCTCTGCCCGTTTTGCATCTCTGAGTGTCTGCATCATAAACAAGGAAGAATAAAAGAGAGAGAGAGTATAAAAGATCTTCAAAAACGTTCTGGAACAAACACACAAGATTTGGATCAGGGGGTGCAGAATGTGGGATAAAACACCTGATCATTGTGTTTGATAATTCCTGCTATGAATATAAAGTTGTGCAATTGAGGTGTTTTGAAGATTTGTGATACTTTAAAAAAAAATTAAAAAAAAAAAAATTGTTTCTTTCAACAAAGAATATTCACCTTATGAGATGGATTTAAAGAAAAACGGGAACAAAATTACCATTCAGTACATTGGTAATTTCTTTTAAAAGGAAACATAGAGAATAGAAAACATCCATGGCAAATACACGGTAAAATGAGACGTAGGAATAAGTAAATCTGTAAGAGGAGAATGCTGTTACCTTCCTTTGATCAATCTCTCTTTGCTTTTGTTGTTTCTTTGATTCTTGAAGTTTGTTCCTCTCTTGCCTCTGTCGCTCCTTCTCAGTCTTCCTCTCCTGTGTTGCAAAGAATGTAATATTGTATTTTAATGTAATCTACATGTACCAATATTACTAAAACTCTAAATAAATACCTGTTTGATACTTAGAGAACCTTAGTTTGGCTACATGTAAAGCTGTACTGTATTTATGAAGGAATTCTCTATTAAATACAGCAGTATATAGGTCATATACTTTCAAATGAAGTTCTTGTCATATTACTTTTTCTTTCATAACGGACCAACATCTTGATAATCCATTTTATTTATTCATTACAATAATGACGCAGAATCTGGCAGATATGAATGGCAATTACCATTTTTGGACATCTTGAATTTAAGAAGTGCCATTGAATATGGAAATGTCCTTGAATTTAAAAATCCAAGAAAATATTAAATAATACAACCCAAATCACCACGAAAGAATCATATGTACCATTGCTTTGAACTTGGCAGCTTGGATTTCCTCTGGTGTTCTCTTCGTCTTTAGATGACCTGAAGACAAAGACGAACTGCTCTCCTGCGACGTCACAGTCTGTGAATCAAGACTATCAGTCTCTGTGGTGTAAGGCATGGATGATGAGTTATAACGTGATGATGATTGATCGGTCATTTCCATGGATTCCGGCTCACCATCACTGTCACTTACGGCATGATCGTAGGATCTTCCGTTTCCTAAGATGGCATTTTTCACTTTTTCATGGATTTCCCTCTCTCTGGCAGTGCTTGATTTGGAGGAAGATGTCGACAAGGTTTGGGAGGATTCCTGGCTGCTGCTCCGTGCTGCCTTGAACCGCTTCTTCTTCTGATCCTCTAGTCTCCGCAACAGACCAAGTTGGATGATATCGTCCTCGTCCGATGAGGATTCAGGGTCTAGATGGACAATTGAAGCTACATTCACCCTCTCTTGGTTTTTGTGCTTAACAGGGTTAGCTACCTTGTCAGGGCTTTGATCACCGTCACTGTCACTACTGGATATGTCAATATGGCACACTCTAGAGGACATTGTCTTTTTGGCATTGGTGTCGTGTGCCGATCCTTTGGACGTCCCATGTTTTTCCCTCTCATTGTTTCCTGGTATGAAACCAGATTCCTTTGGAAGGTTCGATGTCACATTGGCTTCCCATCTTGAGGTAGCTTGTGGTCCACGAGATGCAAAGATGGATGGGAACTCCTCATCATCGTCGCTATCATCATGGAGATCAGAGCTGGTAGCAGGGAAGGGACTGGTCCTCCCCTGGTGCCTCTGAGTGTTCTTGTAGGCCATTTTCTTTTGATGGGAGTCTCTCACATCTTCGCTAAAGTGGGTGTCACAGCTCCTTTCTGAACCGTTTGACCCAAAGTTGTCTGACAAGCTTCCCGCAGATGCTGATGGCACAGGTTTCTTGGTGGGAATGTGGCGTACTGGCGGCACTGGCACTGGGCTTCGATCTCCTGGCTGATCAGTAGGAATTCCTATCAAGAACTGGACACACATAAAAAGATGTACACGATATGACTAATATTTAGGATTCAAGGAATAGTGAAATGGACATTAGCCAGAAAATTCAATGACCTGAAAAAAGTAACATACTATATCACATGTACAGTAGAGTCTTCCTGTCAGTGTGACCTACATGTACTACATGCATTGTGCTAATACCAAATGTGGGGATTCCAGAGAAAATGTACATATCCACATGTCATGTGTCTGGACAGGTTGGTTATCTAAACAGTTGATTTCAAAAAATAATTTGAAGAAATCTACAAGAAATATTTCATAAATCTTTGATGACTTATGTGGATAATATTATAAATAGTCAGGTGGCTTAGAGTCAAATATATGAATTATCGTTACCTGCCGGATATAAGCGCCATTTTTGGTACAGAGCTTCCTTATAGGACCTACATGTACTGAAAGATACTAGGGTAGGAGCCCCTAGCAAAAAAATTATAAAAGGGTCATGTGGTGGGCGGGGTGTTGCCCCAGAGCCCCCAAATAATATATAACATAAAATAACATTGATTTGTTGTTGTACAAATGCAAATATTGGTACAGGGCTTCCTTACGACCTACTGAATGAAATTCAGGTAGGAGCCTAATATATAGGAGCCTACCAAATAGCATAACCCCTGAACTACATAAATTTATACTCTCGTCACGTCAATTTTACCGCTTTACCCGAGATTCTGGAAGAATGCTATGTTCTCAGCAGTCGGGCTTCAAGTTATACTTCCAGTTATAGTTCCTAGCGGACCTTTCGGAAGAGACAAACACAAGGTACCAGCCCCCGAAAAAAAATTCATGAAAGCGGTAGCGGGGCAGAAAATATGTATATTTATGCTAAACAGAGCTGTTCACTCGAAATTGCTGAATATGCATGACTTCGAAGAAAAAGAGCCCTTCTCAACCTTGTGCATATATTGAGCAATTTCGAGCAAATGGCGCTCTATTATTATATCTCTAGACCTATAGATCTATGAGTATCATATTTGCTGCACTGCTACCGCGTACGTATGCATACTTTCTCTTCGCCATGTTGAATCAACGATACAAAATGCATGGATGCATCCTTAATCCTTGGGTTAGGATGAGGAATCACCCTTTTCCCCATCACTGCACAGACTTCTTCAAATTATAATTTCAAATTCAAGTATTCCTAGCACTAGCACTAGCAGGCTAGACCTTCTAGTTGGACGGATGCCCAGGCCTAGTAGTAGGCCTAGAGGAGTCGAAAAACATTGTAGACCTAAGTCAAAATTGTAATTACTACCTCTTTACATTTCGAAAAAATGTGACCCAACCCTCTGTTTGAACTGTTTTTATATGCGGGCTCTGAAGCTCCCTGGTCCTGGAGTTAGCATGTTTGTTGCGCATACGCTCTGCGGGGATCAAAGCCTGGTGCCCTGTAGACCGAAAGCTTCAGTCTCTATAATCGTCGGTTGTTCCACTGAGACTACGTCTGGCTCCACTAGACCTCCGGTTATAGAGACTGAACCATCGTATGTTGAAGATATCACGGCTAGATTTTAGCCGCTAGGCCCCTCCCACAAACATGACAAACTTGCCACGGCCGTATTGTTATGCCCCCAAAATACCCCAAAATGTCATTTTACCTCATGTATATCCAATTTTAAATTAGGTCTAGGCTAGAACATTGGTTCCACTTACTAACTTGATTGAAATAATCCGTTTAATGGTCCCTTTTAAGGAAATTATGGGTCAAAATCGACATCCATGTTGAAAATCTTGCAAGCCGTGTTAAACTCTCGCTGCCGTCAATCTCATCCCTTCTAGTCTACGCCGAAGGCAAAATGATTACGAAGGAAAAACTGTGATAACGCCATTACGAACGTGTAGATGGAACACAGTTTTTCCTTCATAATCATTTTGCCTTCGGCGTAGAAGGGATGAGATTGACGGCAGCGAGAGTTTAACACGGCTTGCAAGATTTTCAACATGGATGTCGATTTTGACCCATAATTTCCTTAAAAGGGACCATTAAATGGATTATTTCAATCAAGTTAGTAAGTGGAACCAATGTATTATAGCCTAGAGTCTAGGCCTAATTTAAAATTGGATATAGATCTACACGAGGTAAAATGACATATTTTGGGGGATTTTGGGGGCATAACAATACGGCCGTGGCAAGTTTGTCATGTTTGTGGGAGGGGCCTAGCGGCTAAAATCTAGCCGTGATATCTTCAACATACGATGGTATAGGCGATCGTTCAGTCTCTATAACCGGAGGTCTAGTGGAGCCAGACGTAGTCTCAGTGGAACAACCGACGATTATAGAGACTGAAGCTTTCGGTCTACATTTTTGTAGGTGCCCTGGTGCCCGTCGCTCAAATGTCAAGCCTGTATAAAATCCTCTCGTCATGTCTCATGACACACGTTTGTTTATACTTACATTCCCGTCAAATATTCTGTTAATTGTTGTTTGAGGGTCCTTTGTGTAAATTAGATCTCTACGAGCATCGTCAGCTGATACATGAGGGCAAACAATCAAAACCTGCTGAACCAAAGAATCCATTCTCTTCTCCTTTATTTTGTCTAACTTTTTGGAAACTTGTCAAAAGCACCGCGCGCTGAATGAAGGGTATGGAATGCCCTGTGTGTATGTATGCCCATCACCGCGAATCTTTCCAACATGTAAACAAAACCAACAAAACACACTTTGGTGAATATCTATCTATGCAAGTTCTTGCAGAGTTTATCCTAAGGTCTTCTTATTTAAAAAATAACATTTCATTTAATTTCACTGTGTTACTTTAATTTTTTTTGTTTTTGTTTTGCTTTCTGCATATGGCGCTCTATAGTTAGTGAAGGGTTTCGTGACAGTAATCTCGACCCACCAATAACAGGCTAATCTTCCACAGCAGCCCGACCATGGACTGTGGAAAGCTCGACCCTTAAGAGTACATTTATGTAGCCGGATACTACTCGACACAATTTATTTTCTCATGATTTTATGATTTCAATTAATAACATTGTTATGAATCGCTAATAATTAAATTAATATTATAATTTGATCATTATATTATGACAGGAAAAATGAACACAATCGCAACTAATTTCGAAAAATTCAGTTTGAGGCAATCGCAATGGCCTTATATTACGTAACTTTTGAAATGTGTGAATATTACATAATCCGAACTTTATAAGTGAAATTGCCTTTATGTACTTATTTTTCAAAAGTAGTTGCGATTGTGTTCATGGACTTTCCTCCAGTTTCAGTGTGAGAAACGGCTGACGAAGGCGGGGGGAGGGAGGGGGGGGGGGGGGGTTTGGCCGATTTAACCCCTACTTTTTCAAAACTAGTAAAACCTACCCCTCGTGTAATAACCAATTACCAATGTACCCCCTCAAATTAAATAACGCCCCTAACGAAAAGGAATCTGTGCCCCTCCCGGGACTGCCCCCTTCTTTTTGTAAGTTAGTTTACACCCTTCAAGACAAAACGTCTAGGTGCTCCTTCCTAAACGAGAATAGGACTGCCTCTGTATGTATTCTTTGTTGATTATGAGTTTCCCCGAACAGAAATGCCCTGTTTAACAAGCTTACTTGAAAGGACAAACTATCAGGTTTTTATGCTTTTCTGCTATGACAAACTGTCGAGAGTTTTGCTCGCACAAAAGTTTAGGAATTGGAAAATCAATATCCGGGCAATCAACGTCAGCCCTCACCCCCCCCCCCCCGCCCTCGCCGTTAATAACTCTAGAGCTTGGGTCAATGAATACGATATATTTTTTAAGTGCTTCTGCTTGCGAATCTAAAGTCATTTGGATAGACGAGAGGTAGAACATTAATATTCCATCTGCTCTACGAAATAAGTAAAATTGTGAAGATGAAAAAAAGGACTAACCGTCCTCAGAATTGCTGACAAGTATTTTTGTATATGGAAGAAAAAAACTTGTATTGCACTGTAGTAAACTGGATCACAGAGACTTTCGAAATTTGATTACTATGAAAACTTTATCAAACATGTCACGTGTGAATGATAAGTTACTTTATGACATGTCGGTTTAAACTGTCAATCCGTGACGCCTAACTGCTAATGGTGCCAAGGGGCTTGGGGGGGGGGGGGTATGTGCCCCCTCATCGAACGGTGAACAAACAAAAATAGACGGCCCATGGATCACCTACCACACCCCCCTCTTAATCCGTCGCCTTGTGACTTTGCATTTCATTTTACAAGGGATGCTGAGGGTGCCCCCATCTCTTGAGTTAGTTGAGTACCCCCTCAAATAAGTGGACACGCGATACGCCACTAAACAGGAATACTCACTATTTTGTGTTCTGGCCACAGAATGCTAACAGTATTCAATTTATGTATTACCGTCTGGATATATAGCGCACTCTCTCGTCACTCGCAATTTGAACGAATACACAGGTCTACATTCACTGTATATGTTTTTTTTTAATAAATGATACCGGAGAAGGAATGGGAAAACCGTCCAGTTAAGTATATCACTACACACAATCAAATAATGCTTCAAGTTTTCTTTTTATATTATTAAGAAGGTAGCCTAGTTATTTTGAAAGTCGAAACATAATGTTATTAAACTGAAATCAAACAAATCATTAATTGGAGGAGAAAAACAAATTAGTCATGGTTATTTCAGTATTTTCATTGCCATTTTTGGTCACTGTTTAATGGGAATGACAAACAGAAAGAAAAAGAGAGAAAGAGAGAGAGAGAGGGAAAGAGAGAGAGAGAGGGAGAGGGAGAGAGAGAGAGAGAGAGAGAGAGAGAGAGAGAGAGAGAGAGAGAGAATGGGAGAGGATCGGGAGTAAGAGAAAGTTTTTGCTAGTATGAAAGTTGTATTATGAATCGCGAATCGCTCTCTGACTTGTTTTAATTATACATAATAGCTACATTTGTTACCAGGGATTTCACATGTTTCACGTTGAAGGGATTAGCATATCTCCTGAAAGTGAGGGGTTTATTAGATGTAAAATTGATCTTCAAAATAACGTGTTTTCCCTGCTTTCCAATACAATCTCTCGGGGCAGAAATATTACAGCTGACATTTCAAATTGAAGCGCTGTTCTGAAGCCAATATTAATTTGCATATCAATCATCTTTTCAATGGAATTAAAACAAAATGCATTATGAACAACTATGTGAACATGAATATTATTTTAATTTTTTGTTCGAAGCAACGTGTCTATACAATATAATATACAAATATACACTGTCTTAATTGAGAGGTTCTGGTTAAAACTATGCGCAAGAGGTGACTCAAATAGTATTTTGGAGTCACCGAGGCCCATAGTTTTAACCAGTATCTCGAATAGAAGGCATTATATATATATTTGTTTTATATCCTGCATCAAAAATGTATTTCATAAAAATATAAAAAAATAAAAAATAAAAAACATTTTTGGGAAGAAAACAATTTTAGAACAAAAAAAAATGTCAATTTTTATCTCAAAGATTTAAAATATTTTGTTTTCATTAAATTAAGATTTGAAGAAAAAAAAGAAAAAAATTAAACAACAAAAATTAACATTTTTTTTCAACTCCCAAATAGTACTCTCATATAGTACTTTCTAAAAATAGTTCAAATATTTCTGGTCATGTGACGAGCTCTCAACCAATCAAAAGCCAACAAATTGTTGATGTAGGATATAAAACAAATATACCATGCCTTCTATTCGAGGTACTGGTTCAAAACTATGGGCCTCGGTGACTCCAAAAGTACCATTTGCTTCGGGTCTGCGCCCCTCAGCAAATAGTATTATTGGAGTCGCCTCTTGCGCATAGTTTTAACCAGAACCTCTCAAGACAGTGTATATTTGTATACCAAATTCAGCCAAAAGCTGCATTGGGTGTGATCACTCGTTATATATAATACAAATCAACACGGCCATGTAACAGGGGGGGGGGGTGGTTTTGGAGGGAGCCGTAGCTCCTGCCCCCCCCCCAGCCATAGTTGTATACGCCACCGTTCCCAATAGAATGAATAATGTGATTCTTAGCCCCTTTTCTTAAATTTCTTAATTTCTTTCACCTATATACTTTGCCAAATTGTAATTCTCTTTTTTTTCATCAACCTCTGCATTATGTCCTTATCCAATATTCATTTGCTTTACATTTTAATTCCACGAATTTTGTCTCTGTCAAAATGATTACATCTGCAGGTTTTAAATCTTAATCGGAACTAAAGACCAACATTTCATGTTTTTATCAAAGGTTATCTTTGTCACGAAAATTAATGAAAGCTTGGCAAACAGCGACCTGTGGACAAAATGTTGGTTAACCATGTAATTTTGTCTCTGAATTACATCAAGCGCACTGCATCCAAGTATTCAAATTAATTTACAGCACCTTTAGCAGCATTGTGGTCGAGTCTAGTGCATACGTCTCCGGACTATGTCTGTGAACCACAAGGTACGGGGTTCGAATCACTGCCAAAGCACTAATATTTGGCAATCCATTAATCTACATATGCCACACTCCGTTCATCGGCATTGGCTGAAATATGACGTAAAAGGCGCTATTTCGTTTTTTCAACGGCTTTTTCAAATTATCTAATATTTGTGGTGGTACACAAGTATTAAAAATCGTTATATTTATGGATATTTCAGCCGCCTCTGAACCGATTTTGATCAAACAAAGATGATTTTTTTTTTGTGTAGCGCCTTCTGCAACAGAACTCAACTATCCCTTTGATATCTGGGTTTTAAATTTACTTCTAAGTTTTTGTTTATGATACTCCATCATCCATATGCATTACTGAAGCAGGTTTTATGGAGCGTGCTTTGGTTGTTGTTTTAACATGTTAGAAGATCCATGACATGAAAGATTGCGTTCGAGTAATGTTTATCTTTATAGCGGTCCATGATGTTCTGATCTAGACTAGATCTATGATAACGAACTTCCTCACCACCATGGCCATGTTTGATTAATTTCCCGTTAAGCAACGTAGGCCTAGCACACGTCCTTCATGTCATATTACATGCAGGTTATGCAAATATAGCCCTGAGACATGTTGCTATGGTAACCTGGATGATATTCAAGCTCATCGTCAACACTCCCTCCTTATGTTGTCTACTTTCGTCTATGTTTTGTTTGTATTCTTCACGGTGGCTTGTAATTAGTTAATGTGGTGTCATTGACGATCAGAATCAGTATTTTCCGGCTGATCGCCTTGTAAAAAGATTAAAGAAACATACTTTTGGTTTCTTTGTGGTTAGACCCATTAAAAAAAAAGAGAGATTTATCTTCTTATTATTTTCACCTTTTCCCCATGCGGGACAATAATATTATCCCCAAGGGCAATTACCCACCTGAAAATTGCCCCCCGGAAGTTACCCCCCCCCCCCCGAGGACAACCACCCCTAAGGACAACCACCCCGGAAATCCCCCCCCCCGAAAAATTGAAACCAACTTTACCTCAGGGTAGAAGGGGGGAGTAATTATCCTAGGGGGTAATTTTCCGGGAGATATTGTCCTCGGGGGTGATAATCCGTGTGGAAATTTTCTGGGGGTTATTTTCCTTGGGGTTAGTTTTCCGGGGGGTAATTTTCCGGGGGGATTTTTCTGGTGGTAATTGTCCTGACACGCTTGCCTTTCGCTCTGTCTTTGACTCCCCCT